AAATACAGAAGGTAATTTATTTACCGAAAAAAGAAAGGTATGATTGCAATTTAAATGATCTCATTGTTTCAGGGTTGCAAAAAAAAAAAAAAAAAAAAAAAAAAAAAAAAAAAACCGAAACTGCGCCCCCGCAGGGAACGCCCCGCGGGGAGAAAGAGGGTGGGGGAGAAGGAAAAAACGAGGGAGCGGCGGTGTCAGGGCCCAGAAACCCATCAGGCACCCGCGCCAGCCAGGTATAACATGGCAGGGCGAGCGGGGTCTCTTCCCGACCCCCGGTTTGAACTCCTCCGCCCGGGTGGGGTTTCGCCCCGCCCACAACGGGAAACACCCATTCTCCAAACAAACCGCTAAATCATACAATCCGGAATAAAAAAAAAAAAAAAAAGGATAACACACGAATTGAATATCATTTGGTAACATTGCAGAGATAGCCACACAAACAGAGAAAAACAACAACGAATAATGTATAAATCTCTCTTTGTGTTGGTTTCTCCCTGTCCCAATTGCAATTAGCATACCCATAGGAACAAGCAAATTATATGTTATCCCATTCTCAAACAATGTAAAAGCATATACAAATGAAAAGAGATATCACATACCTGAATCACACAATTGCAGAGTGAGAGACACACCGCAAGGTGCACAGCAATACTCTGCTTACAAGTATAAAAATGAAAAAAAGAGATTATGTATTTCAACACAAATTGATGCACCCTAGCCCAATGGGTGTCATCGGAATTATTTTTCTCGGTGCTCATTGTACCGAATATAATAGCAATTATATTATTATTAACAGTAAACAAGTGATTACCAACACTCTTTAGATGGACCCCACCACAGTGCTCAGTACACGGCCATGCAGCCCAGCACAGAGAGAAGCAGCAGCAGCAGNATGTAGTCCCATAAAATCCCAAATAAAAAAGAAAAGATTATAAACGAATTGAATATCATTTGGTAACATTGCAGAGATAGCCACACACACAAAAAACAATAACGAATAATGTATAAATCTCTCTTTGTGTTGGTTTCTCCCTGTCCCCATTACAATATGTAGTGTCCCCATAGGAACAAGCAAATCATATTTTACCCCGCTCAGAAATAATGTAAAAGCATATAAAAAGAAAAAGAGATATCATTTACCAGAATCACACAATTGCAGAGTGAGACACACCACAAGGTGCACAGCAATGCTCTGCTTGCAAGTATCAAAAATGAAAGGAGATTAGATATTTCCACACAAAAAAGTGATGCACCTCCGTACAGTGGGTGTCATCGGGATTAATTGTATCGGTTCCCAGTGTACTGACCACAGTAGCAATTGTATTATATTATTAACAGTAAACAAGTGATTACCAACACTCTCTGGATGGACCCCACCACAGTGCTCAGCACACGGTCATGCAGCCCAGCACAGAGAGCAGCAGCAGCAGCAGGAGTGGAACACGCAGTAGCGCAGGGCTGCT